TTTGACAAAGTGCCCCATGATATCCTGGTTGAGAAACTGAGGAGTTTTGGGATAGACCAGTGCACTGTCTGATGGATCAGAGCATGGTTGACTGACTGAAAGCCAAGGGTAACCATTAGTGGGGAATCATCAGGATGGCAGCCAGTGACAAGCGGGTCCCCCAGGGCTCTGTCCTGGGGCCTGTCCTGTTTAATCTTTTCATCAACAACAAGGAAGAAGGGGTGACCAGTCTGTTGATCAAATTTGCAGACGATACTAAAACTGGGGCAGTGGCCACAACTGAGGAGCAGGTACTCCAGATCCAAAAGGATCTGGACAGACTATGGAAGTGGGCAGGAGACAACAGGATGGTGTTCAATGTGGATAAGTGCAAGGTCTTGCACTTGGGGCATAGGAATGGGTGTCATAAGTACAGGTTAGGGGAGAAGTGGCTGGAGAGCAACACTTGTGAAAGGGATCTTGGGGTGCTGGTTGACTGCAGGCTGAACATGAGTCAGCAGTGTGATGTGGTCAAGAGGGCAAACGCACCCTTGGTTGCATAGCCAGAAGGGTGGCTTCTAGATTGAGAGATGTATTACTACCACTCTATACAACTTTGGTGCGCCCGCAGCTGGAGTATTGTGTTCAATTTTGGGGCCCTTGTTACAGGTAGGCTATAGCCAGGTTAGAGTTAGTGCAGCGTAGGGCCACAAGGTTGGTGGCCAGTTTGCAGGGAAAGCTGTATGAGGTGAAACTGAGGAAACTGGTTCTTTTCAGCCTGAAAAAGAGGAGACTCAGAGGGGATCTGTTGGCGACATACAGGTATGTGAGGGGATGTCACACGGAGATGGGTAGAGACCTGTTCTCCCCTGCAGAGGAAGGCAGGACGCGCTTCAGCGGAGCGAAGCTCAGTGAACCAAGGTTCAGCTTGGATGCCAGGAAGTACTTCTTGACAGTTAGGACCCCGAGGGTATGAAATGGGCTTCCAAGGGAGGTGGTTGAGGTCCCATCAGTGAGGGTGTTGAAGGATAGGCTAGACATGCACATGTTGTGAGCGGAGCCAGCTGGAGCCGGGGGTCAGACTAGATAGCCCGGGAGACCCTTTCTGACTCGCGCTGTTTCTATGTTTGTATGTATATTCTTAGGATTTCGACCAATTCATTCTCTGCAGCTTGGAACAGTTCTGTTGGTACTCTAGCTACTCCAAGTACTTTATTCTTTCCAAATGCTTTCAGAGCAGGTTTTACTTTCTTTCTAATATTACAGGCTTTCCCCTCATAGGCTTCTTTGAAGTCTATCATCCTTTTGTCTCTTTTGTACATATATCTATTTTTGACATTCCTTATCTAGGTTTAAATTCTCTTTCTTTCTTGGATCTTTTGAAAGAGGTCTCTTGTTTCTCCTCTTCAGTTGCTCTCTTGTATTTCTTTAAACTGGTCGTAGTCTCTACGGAGAAATGTGTTAACGGAGAAATTCATGGCATTTATTGCTGTCTCCATTTTTCCTATACTTCCATCATATTTTTTAAAAAGGGATTTTGAATTCTCTTGATAGTCTTTTTTATATTTTTAAACCTGTATGTGTCTAAGTGATCACCTGTTTCCCTTAATTATTTTAATTCAATATCACTCCATATTAGTTCTTTGCTTTGTGCTATAGTATCTGGAACTATCTTTTATTGATTTGCAACCCAATACTTTTTAACATGTGGAATACCCATTAATTTCTGCATTTGCGCTGCATATTCATCATCATCAATAATTCCAAGCTCCTTTAATAACTTCAGCACTTCCTCCTTTATATCAACTCTGTAATCTTTTCCATTATATGAAAACCTCAGAAAAATTGGAAACCCCCAGCTATATTTAATGGAATTCTTTTTTAATATTTGACAAACTTGGAACATACCTCTCCTCCATTGCATAGTCTCAGTACATAAATCAGGAAACACTTGAATCTGGTAACCTTCGAACATGATTGATGTCATATTCTGTAATTTCCGTCTCAATTGTTCTTTTTTGCATATGACCAGAATCGGGCTACAGTGTCTCTCACTGTTTTTCTTCCAGGTCTTCTTGGGCCAACTCTATGTATTGCATCAATATCATGTCTTGTAAAGGAGACATTTGGAAGAATAGATTTAGCCCAATCCAGTATTGATTGAATGAGTTCATTCTCATTCCGATCCTCTTGATATCCTTTAAGGTGTAAATTTGATCTTCGTTGTCTATCCCTGGATCTCAGTCACACTTTTTGAGACCTGATGTATCTTAGTCATCTGATTTTTTCACTTTTTATCTTGTTCTTCCATCTGAATTTTCACTCCTGTAATTGTTTATTCTTTTGAATTTGTTTAATTAAATCTTTTATTTCTACACCCATATTATCCATTTTGACATTTAATTGCTTAACATCCTCTTTCATATCAGTCTTCATTTCTCTAAATTCCTGTAAATCAAGCTTGTCTAGTTGTGTTGATGGTTGAGATGCTGGTATTGATTTTTCCGGTGATGATCTCTTTTTCCCATTCATTTCACAACTTTACTCTTTTCAAACACAAATCCAGTGGTGAAGTTTCACTTTAGATCTTTGTCAGACGCTTTCTGCACTCTTGCTACATTTTGACATCCAGCTACCAGAGAAAGTTTTAAATTTGTAATAATAATATTTTATGATCCACAGTTGTTATTTAATATTCAACTAGGATGAAGGAACTCTTGAATTTAGTAAGAACTAATATACAGACCACAATTGCAATTTAGCTTTCAATCAGCATATAGATCTCTTAATTTTCAACAGCTGCAATTTAACACTTAGCCTGCAGAGGGAGCTCAAGGATTGCTATTAGCAAAATACAGTCTTGTATGTGTTTCATCCTTTTTCTCAGACCGTGTATTTCAATACATCACTTCCTCTTCTTTATTTTTGTTGTTTCTTATCTCTTATTTCTGTAGTAGCAAAATAACACAGAGAAGCTAATCCTGGGACATTAATTAACTTTGATTTACCTTCCTCACAGCTCTGTCCAAATATTTTCTTTTTCAGCACCTTCTTGGCCTTCCAGCTGCGCATGGGGGGGCGAGGGAAATCTCGAGCGATAGTTACTATCTTCTTATCAGTCATTCAGAAAAAAAAAACAACCTCTACCTTTTTCCCCACTCTTCAAGCTGCTTTTAAGCTTTTAATAACAAGCAGCTGAGGTGTTTATAACATAAACCAGGGGTCCTCAAACTTTTTAAATGGGGCCAGTTCACTGTCCCTCAGACTGTTGGGGGGCTGCACTATAGTTTGAACAAAATATGAATGAATTCCTATGTACACTGCACATTAAAAATGAATTAAAATTTAAAACAATTAAAAATGTTTGCTCCATCAAGCTGCTGCAGAAGCCCAAGATGAGGTGGGGAAGAGCCTTCTCTGGGCAAGCTGCAGCCACCTCGCCGAGCCCAGGGGCAGCTGCTCAAAAGTGGCAGCAGGTTGTCCATCGAAGGGCGCAGCTCCCGTGCCCCCGGGGACGTGACTCACATACTTAAAAATGGATTTTAAAAGTAATATTTTTTTATCTTCAATCCTTTTTTAGTGTCTTCATCTCTCTCTCTCTCCCACCCTCTTCTCTTGTTTCCTGCTCCATATTCCCGCTCTGTATATGCATGCAATGCGGGTGGGAGGGGAGAGCCAGCATACACGCAGTTGAGCTTTTACAGTTAGGTGCATGTGCCAGCTCTCTGGTCAATTTCAAAGAACGCCTGTGCCAGCTCAGAGCTTTTGGACTCACGTGGAGATCATTTTCTCCAAGTGAGTCCAAAAGCTCTGAGGCGGGCCGGATAAATGAGAATGGCGGACTGGATCTGGCCCGCAGGCCATAGTTTGAGGACCCATAACATAAATACTGTTTCTCAATCCGCAAACAGCTGAGCTTACTCTGCAGCTTACTCTGGACCAGGCCCAGCAGTTTCCGATTACAAAAACAGCACTTAGTCCACATCTGTATTTCAACCCTTCCCAGGAGAGAGACAAAAGAATTAACTTTTGTTTCATGAATTTTTCTGTATTATTTGATCTTGAGTATATTTTAATCATATTTTTCTCGATGGTCAGGAGGAGTAAGAATTCAGTGTCTGGAGTCCATCCAAGCTAGCTCTGTCCCCGCTTTTCCACTATTTTTGATTGATATTATTTGGTTGGATTTTTCAATATAGATCTTTACTGCTTGTGCAACATCTTGCCGCAGTTTTAGAGGTACTCCCATTTCTTCTGAATTTATCATTTCCAAATTAAAACACTTTGTGTTCATCTGATTGAAAATGGCCCATTCTAATTAGTTCACACCAAGTACTGTGATTTTTAGCCATTCCATTCCTTGCTTTACAGTTTTCAGATTACTTTGGTTTATACTTCTCATGTTCCATGTTCCAGTTGTATGTATTTTCAGCATCAAACTATCCTTTTACCTCTGTGCAGGTGAGCCACTAGGTTTCTTTTCAGCTCTGTTCTAGTTGCATCATTGGTGACAGCCATATTTATATTTGTACTTTGCTCTTCCTCAGTAACTTATTGGGTGCCTTCCAACCTGAGGATCTTCTGGCACTATCTCTTGTTTCATTTTGGATTGTTTAATCATAAGATTTTCAAGGTTAAAAGATGCTGAAGTAGTTTACCATTGCCTTCTACACAGTCCTAATCAGAGTTAGTGTGGACATCACTGCCATTATCTGTGAAAGATCTGCCAGTGTCGCTGTCAGCTACTGCTGCTACTCCATAGCTGTCTTTCAGAAGTTTCTCCACCCCTGTCACCATTAGGGAGATCCATTCTTTTCTGCTGATGTGACTATTACTCCTGAAAGGGGTGGATATATCTTAGTCTGGTGTTTCAGCTTTGTTCACTCTACCTTGGGGTGACCCTGCTAGGGCACC